TAAATAAATATTCAAAAAAAAAAAAAAAACCCTGCTAAGACAGCATGTTGAACTAATTGTGTCCCAATAAGAGCAACCAAGGCCAATTCTATCCTATACCTAGGTCAGAAGCCAAAAGAAAACAGATCTAAATCAATGTTCTTTACAAATGCTTGACATACTCATGAATCAATGCCATCTCTCCACCATCTTATCTCAAAATGGGACATTTGCTATTGTTATTGTGTGTCATCAAGTCACTATTAACTTATTGTGACCTCATAAATTAATGATCTCCACAAAGTCCTATCTCCAACAGTCCTGTTTAACCCTTGCAAATTCAAGAATGTGGCTTCCATTATGGAATCCCCACCACATGCTAAGTCCTCCTTTTCCTACTGTTGCTCTTAACTTCTCCTGGTATTATAAGCTTGTCCAGTGAGTCTTGTCATCTCAGTTTAGTTATTTTGCTTCTACAGAGTTCCAGCTTGATTAGACCCAGAACCAACTTTACTTCTCTTTCTGAAGATCCATGATCTCTGTAATGCTCTTCTCTAGCACTACATTTTGGGATCAATCCTTTTTCCTGTAATCTTTCTTCATTGGCCAACTTTCACATCTACACACAGCAATCAGGAATACCACTGTTTAGATCAGTGGTTCTTAACCTCTGTCACTCAGGTGTTTTTGAACTGCAACTCCCAGAAACCCCAGCCAGCAGAGCTGATGGTGAAGGCTTCTGGGAGTTGCAGTCCAAAAACATCTGAGTAACAAAGGTTAAGAACCAGTGGTTTAGATCATCCTGACCTTGTCTCCACCAAGATATCCATATTCATAAGCATATTTTTATTTATTTTATAAACCAAACATTACAAAATAGTACAATGACAGAAAAGAAAGAAGAAAAATACACTAAGCAAATTAAAAACAGCACAAAACATATGTTACATCCAGTCCTGCTGTGCTGTTTTAACAGTACCCTTTGTTGGTTTTAATGGTTTTAACTTATTTCATTGATTTTAATGATTTTATAGCAGTTAGTTTACACATTTTTACTTTTTCGGTAAAAGTGGCTTAATCTGTTTTTATTCTTTTAAAAATTGCCTTTAGCACTGTATTTTAGGAAAAAAAACATATTTAGTGGAAAGGTGGGGCATTCATTTAAATAAATAATGCACTAAAACAGCCTCGTAGTTTCTATGGAAGTGACAAAGTGCTGAGTTGGTTTGTCCACTGTGGTCTTGGTGAGTCATCTAAAGGCACCTTAGACAATTATCCTGGGGTTGTTGATCCCACATTTGAGATCGCTATAGCCAGCTCAGTCAGTGATGTCATGGTTTATATTTCAGCAAGGATCATTCTTAGCAGATCAATTAGGCTAGAGGTAAGCAAGTGTAAACAATAGCCTTTTTGCTATGAACAATCCCAAACCCTTCCTTAGCAAAATGGAGATTTTGAAGTTAAGATGTAAAGGATGCTTCAAAAAAGGAAGGAAGGAAGGAAGGAAGGAAGGAAGGAAGGAAGGAAGGAAGGAAGACTGAGCTCTTCAGTTAACAATTCTACACACAATATTTTGTTGCAGGCCCCACTTAAAGGTATATAAAAGCAACACAAAACAGTAACAGCAGAAAGAATACATTAAAGCCATTATGAAATCCTGCCTCTGAAGAAGCCTACGCAATGACAGGAGATGATACAATCTGTACAACACAGTTTTGTCTCACTCACAGTCTTTAGGGAAATGCTGCTGAACATACAAGTAGTTTATACCTTTTTTTTAAAAAAAAAGTCTCATAGAAACTCTGCTGTCCTCAGTTTATTTTGAACAGTGCTAGATTATACGTCCAGAGAGGGAAGCCTCCCCATAGTACACTTTCAACTGCTGCCTAGTCTAAAACTCAAACACCACCTCAAAACCTGCGTGCCTACTGTTTTTCAGAAGATTTAAATGGGCTGTTTGAATACTATAAGTTGGCATTAAAAACAACAACACAATCTGCTGGACTCTTAAAACATGCACTTTTTACAGTCCTCCCAAATCCCCAAACCATTTATTTCTTTAAAGAGTAGTTACTTGGCTTTATAAAACATTAGGATACCAGCTGTACATATTGAACCATAAATCTACCTAATTAGTTTATTTTCAAGATACATGAACTGGCAAGTTTTCTGTCAATTACCATAAAGATCCATTTATGTTTAAATTTGACATTAATAGCTTGCAGCAAATTGGTACTTATTTATCAGATCAATACTACAAACAATACACCTAGCTATTCTTCATGAGCTTAAAGACCAATAACTCAAATTATTCTCCTGGGATTCATATGCATACATTTTATGAACAAACCTAGCACAAATAAAATTCTGACTTCTTGGAGGGTATTTAATAAAGCTATCACTGCATAGTACACAAACTAGGAGGTCAGCACCCAGCATATGCGCAACAAGGAACTGCTGCCAACTACAGCTGCCTTAAAACTCTACCTATATGCTACCCTTTTTGCAAATACCTTGTAACATTCACATTTCTGCATGCTTATGCACACATTCATCATTCAGTGACTAAAGCCACTGACCACTGACTTCCATGTATGTTCACAGGAACCAACTGTAAAGAAAGGAATGTACATGCAGACTTTAAAAACCTTTGGAATGGTGGCTATACTAGAGAAACAAACCTAACATTCAGGCAATGGTTTATCTTTGCACAACCACTTGGTTTTCAGAAAGCCAACACCTATATTTAAACAATCAGGAAAGATTTGGTGGCTTAATAGGTATCAGATATAAAGCCTACAACTGCATATTATTTTTAAGGTTATTGAGTTGTTATTAGTTCTGTATTGCTTTTTTTTCCCTGTAAAAACACTTTACACTGTATTTCAGTCTCTTTTTACATAATCTCTGTGAAAGATCACTTTGATAAAAAGACAGCATAGCCATTTTTAAATAACTTAAAACTCAAGAAGCTGAAGACAAATTATCAGCCCAAGCAGTCGTCATTCAGTCTTTAAGATAGCTATACATCAATATCTCTGATGCCATTAGACAGGCAGTAAATCAATAACAGAGTGAGCCAGTGCAGTGTGAGTAGACAGAGTAAAAGACTAAGGTTCAGGAGCTCCTAGGTTCAAGCCCCTAACATGGAAATTCACTGGGGAGGTGGTGGCATTGGTAAAACCACTCCTTAAATCTCACATACCTTGAACCCCCCCCCCCCACTTAGAGTTGCAGTCAGATGTAATGTCACCAAAAAAAGAAGTAAAAAGAAAGGATTTTAGTTTTTTCTTTCTAATGGGGCAACACGGCACACTGAACCCAAGTTTACTTACTTCCTAGTATACATGGCTGGGACTGGGGTGCAATTCTTTTGTTTAGATGTTGCTCTTTTATTCTTTTCCCTAAAATTAGCAAAGGATCATACAGTGACCAGGTTAGAAATTCCACTTCTAGCGTTTCTTCAAAAGGAATCCAGCCCAACAAAGCCTCCCTTTTCTCTCTCCTTTTAACAGATGAGGACTGCCAGACAACATCAAGGACGGTTCTGCTTAATACAGAACATCTGCACCTTTCTTCCACTCTCTCACCTTCTCTCTCTCAAACTGATTTTAAAAAGAAAGGGGGGGAGCTGAGGCCGAATTTCTCCTGAAGCCGAAGCCTCACTTCTGGCGCCCCCTGACGTCTAGGGCTGAGATTGCACGTCCAGGGGGCAGGCTGTGCAGCCATAGACGAAAGAGCAAACGGGAAATTTGAAAGCCTACTGTATGGACGGGGCGACCTTTTGCACTGGAGTTGAGAGCAGAGCTAGAAAAACACGTCTGGGGCCACCTCTCCTGCCCCTTCTCCTCGCCAGATCTGAAGTTTGTCTGCGCTCAGACAAGAGTCTCTCCCGACATGAAGACATGCCTTGGTCTCCCCTTCATCACCTCAGCACACCCCTTCATCACCTCAGCACACAATAATACCTGCGCTCAGCCCTCACGCAAGCTCCTCACTTTCCAACGGCTTCACAGTTAACACACACAGCCGGCCTGTCCTTGCCCCGCTTGAGCAGGTTTACATAGCAGAAAGCCAAGTTTGCAACGACCCGGCCAGCGCGCCATCCAAATACTGTATATAGGACTGCGCCCGCGCCCGCCCACACACACACACATTTTGGCTGAAGCCTCAAAAAGAAAAAAGCTGCAATTCTTGGGAGTCAAGTCAGCCTTCTCGAACTCAGCGGGACTTCCTCGCGAGTAAACATTCGTCGGCTCGAACCGCAGCGCTACCATCCCCAGCGTGTGCACTTCCAACGGAAGCCCCACCGAAACGAGTAGAGCTTCCTTGTGCGTAAAACTCCGGCGGGTGGGCGGACGAAGTGGCTTTCTGCTCGTCCCCTCTTAAGCGGCAGCCGATACTTTTCACCGTTTGGTGTTCACGCACATAAACCAGCGACTCCCGTCCAGTCCCAGTCATTCGTGGGGCTGCGGGGGCCGGGGGGGGGAGAGAGAGGCAGCGAGAGAAGTCACTAAGATCGAGGCTACTCACCCCAGCAGGACCACCATGGCGGGGGGGGGCGACGCGCGCGTCGATTTATCTACCAAAGGCACGTCCGAAAACGGGAGCGGAGCGCCCCGGAGTACAGGCTGCCTTCCTGATCGTCAGCCGCTCGACGGAGATGCTGGCGAGGAGCTG